TCTGAAGGGTCATCTTGGGAGGCATTTTCGCAACATTCCGCGCATTCCCATTGTGGTTGCACCCTGCACGGATCCTCAAAGTAACCGTGGTGACAACTCCCGGCTCGTTCTTCTGGAGTTAATGTCCTCTGACTCGCTTCAGGTTTAACTTGTTCCTGTACTGTGGTATCTTCCTCACATTCGATTGGAGTCACGCTTTTATCCTCAGAGGATATTTCAATGACCTCTGGTTCTCTTTCTGTTCGGTGACCTTTCAATTGTTCGAGTGCCTTGTCGCGGATTTCGCTTGTAAACATCTGCTCCTCTTCAACTATTCGTTTCAGAACTCGTAACCTTTCACTCTTTTTATCTTTCCCCACTTTAGCCGTCTTTATTCCCAGTGCCTCTGGTACTGGGATAGGCTTTGCCCACTCCATGTCTGGCACAAGCGATTGTTTCGCTGCAACTGCCGCTTCTTTCTGTGTGGCAATTATCTCTTCAAGCGTTGGTGACCTTTCGGTAGCAGGTCGTGGTTCGAAAAAGGGTTCCTTTTGAGAGTCACGTTCTGTTACTTCCTCTTTGGCTTTATCTGGTAGCCTTTCATTTTGGGTGGCAGAGCGTGGTTCGAAAAGGTTCGAATTACGCTCTCGTTCCAAGTTCTCAGTTGCTGGTGACCTTTTGTCTTCCTTTCCCAGTGCCTCTGGTACTGGGATAACTTTTCCAACTTTTCCATTTTCATTTTTCGTTTCCAGTGCCTCTGGTACTGGGATAATTTCTTCCTGCTGTACCTTTGTCACTCCCGGTGCCTCTGGTACTGGGATGACCTTTTCTCTTCCCTTCTGTGTCAGCAAGGTCAGATTTAATGTCTTTTCGATCTCCTGCTGGATTACTTGCAACTGCTCAAATGGTGACAATTCTTTTCGCGTTATCTTTTTCTTTTCGTTTCCCGGTGCCTCTGGTACTGGGATTAGCGCTTTATTAACGGTTTGAGCCTTTTCCTGTTTTGCAAGTTCGGTGACCTTTCCGACTTGTACTTTGGCAACTGGTTTGGGGTCATCTTCCTTCTCTTCTTCACCTTCGTTATCCATTAGTACAAATTTCTTTTCCAAGAAGTCAAATCCCAGTAAGACTTGTACGTCGTCACACTTCGGTCGGACGTAGAAAGAATGTTCGCTTGTCTTCTTCCGTAAGGTCACTGGTGCTACACAGTAATGCGTCACCAGGAATCCTGACGTTCCGCTAATTCCGTTAATCTTCACCAATCTATCTGGTGGCAATGGGAGCATATGAAGTCCATTCTTCTCGCAAAACGGTTTGCTGATCAGCGACGTCTCAGCGCCGGTGTCCAACATTGCGCTGACCTTTATGTCTCCCACTTTCACTTCATGTGTGTATGCTTCAATTCTCTTGGGCAATTTTCCGTTTTGAATCTTCAGTGTATGAATCTTACATTTCACAGGAATGAGCGATACTGGTCCTGGATCCATATCGGGAAGCACTTGTCCTTTTACTGGAGTGCTATGACCTTTCAATATCTCGCTCAACTTATCAATCCTATGTGGAACGTTAGTCCGAACATCGTAATATTTCCGCGGCTTTTCTTTATTTGTTCGCTTCTCTGTAGCCATTTTATCGCCGGTGACCTTTTCAGCATTCTGCACTTGCTCATTTGCTTTTGTGCCAGCTGTGTGACCTTTTGTCACTTCATTTATCGTTTGATGGATCAGTTCCTCTTTGCGATTTTCATTTCGTTTATCTCTCAACTTCTCAATAACTTCGCTTGTTATTTGGTCCGCTCGCTTCAGTTCGTCTTCTTCGCTATCTTTCATCTCATCTGGTGACCTTTCGTATGTAATCATATCATATCCTTTTTCGGTCATCCATTCGATCACCTTCGCGGATACTTCATTGTTCGTTTTCGTCTGATCAATTTGCGAAGACATCCTGTCTGTTCGGGCTGGTGACTTGTCATTGGCATCCTTTGCAGTGCCTCCGATAAGTCCCGTGACCTTTCAATTGCGCTACTCTGTTGCGTTTGCGCTATCTCATTTGACCGTCCTTTTTGTTCATTTTGCGCTAAGTCCTGTGACCTTTCGTTGCGCTTCATGACAAATCCGCCACCTGTCAGCTTTTGTATGGGGACTTTTTCTCCATAATTCGGCGGTTTATCCTGTGGTGGAGCATTGCGTGAATGATTCCAGTCAGCGGATGTCTTCTTATATTCCTCTGGATTGAATACTGGAACTGGGTTCGGTGACCCTTGCGCTGGTTTCCCGGTAACCAACTCTTCCAGTCGCTTTCTTTCACATTGCGTTCGCAACTGTTGCATGTCCCAGTAGTCCTCTTGTGACATTCTCGCTTTCTGCTTTGCTTTCGGCGTCACAGGTATCCACATCCCGTGATTGCCATTCGGTCTGTAGGCCACTTTTTGCCACTTCTCCTTCTGTTGTAATGTTACTGCGTCCACAAGTGAGTCGTCGGAGTTCTGTGCCATTTCGCCACTCTTTTGCTGCGCTGTTCGCAGTGTCAAGTCTGTTTCTTGACCTTTTAACACGACGCTGTCGCCGTGACCTTTTGCATTCGCACTCGCTCCTTGACCTTTCACTTGGACTTTTCCAACAGAAGGTGGCCTTTCATCTTTACTAATAACGTTGATATTCTGCTTAATCCACTCTTGCCTTATTCGCTTCTCTTCTTCGTCTTCTGAACAATTCCAAAACTTTGGCTTTGGCTCCCCGTAACAATCGCAACTTGGCTCTTTCGCCTTATCGTTTTCTGCCAAAAATTTCCGGAATTTCGCGTGTTGCTCATTTTCCTCTTGCGCAGTACCGTTCTGCGGTGGTGAATTTTGGTCTTTCGATTTGCCATTTATCTGTTTCCGGAACCATTCGTGGTGCATTTCCACTTCTTCTGCGGTATCAGTTTGCGGTTTCTTTTGGTTTAACAGCGCTTGTCGAATCTTGGCATTACGTAATGCACGACGTTCAGCTAACACTTTCTCGCTGCAATACGGTGACCTTTCATTTTGCTGCACTTCTTGCAGTGTCGCGCTACCGTCACGACAATTCCCACTCGCAGTACCATTCTGCGGTGACCTTTGGTCCCGTTGCACGTTTCCACTCGCAGTACCATTCTGCGGTGACCTTTTATCCACTTGGACGTTTCCACTCGCAGTGCCATTCTGCGGTGACCTTTTATCCACTTGGATGTTTCCACTCGCAGTGCCATTCTGCGGTGACCTTTGATTCTGTGACGGTATCCTTATGACCGTTCCATTTCCCTCTTGCGATGACGGCATCCGTATAGCCGTTTCTCTTTGCTGTGGCGGCATCCATCTAGCCGTTTCCTGTGGTTGCGGCATCCATATAGCCGGTCCACTTTGCTTTTTCGCTGACGGCATCCATATAGCCGTTGCAGTGGTCACATTCACTGCAGTACCATTCTGCAGTGGTGACCTTTCCCTTTTATCCGGTGGTTTAGGGTCGGGTCGATCAGTAGGCTCACCGGTGCCTACTGATCTTGCCCGTTTCCCTGAACTGGCGCCCCTCCTTGTTGTACGCCTTGCACATTTGCTTGTTGTTGTCCGATATCATTTGCCGGGTTAGGATTCTGTCCGCCACCGTTGTTGTATTGGCCACCACCCTGTTGGTAGTTTCCGCCTCCATTTCCGCCGCCTCTGTAATTTCCGCGGCCATAGCCTCTGTTCCTTCCTCTGAAGCCGCCGCGGCCGAAGCCACCACGGCCGAAGCCGCCATTCTGGCCACCGCCATTTCCATTTCCGTAATTACCATTTCCATTGCCTTGTTGGTTTTGGAAGTTCGCTTTATGTTGGTACCATTGGGTGATGAGGTCATATCCGTTTGCGACCGCTGGGCGCCAGCCACCTATAGCTCGGAGGCGTTGCCACTCGTTAAAGGCAAACAGATTCGGGTTCTGTTCCGGTGGTGTATTGGCGAACTTGCACCCCTGTGTCTGATGGTTGCCGTACATACAGTACTGGCACATCTGCACGTTGTTCGCCACCCATCCATCAATCATCTGGAACTTGAATTCGGTTCGTGACCCTTGATTTTGCTGTTGATTCCCTCTGAAGTTTCCTTGACCTTGACCTCGTCCCTGATTCTGGAAGTTTCCTTGACCTCCGTTCCAATTCCCGTTGCCATTTCCACCGAAATTTCCGTTACCCCCACCTTGTTGTGGTAACCCAACATTCATGGGGGCCACGTTCTGTGGTGCTGGTGGAATCACATTCTGAGGTGCCGGTCTTACTTGAGCTGCCGCCTGTATCGCTGCCACCATCGCGTATGTTATCGGTTGCCCCGTCTGACTGTCGATAAAGGTCACCTTTTCCGTGACCTCTCTGACCGGAGTCTCCGCGCGGTATTCGACTGGTTGCTGGGGTGGTGCAGCTACCATTCTCTGTTGCGGTACATTTTCGACTTGGCCTTGGCGGATGGTCACGTATTCCTGATTACGTTGACCTTTAGGCGCCTTATATTTCTCTTCGCCAGTGGCCCAATGTCGGAAGAAGTCTTTCACATCCGTTGGCGTCTTGCACTTCTGTATACGCAATGCCTTGTAGAGTTCACTGTCTCCTCTACATCCTTCAATTAAGAATCCGACTGCTTGTTTCTCCGTGATGATTCTTTTTGCTTTGAATCGCATCATCGCCTGATAATACTGGTCCAGCGATTCTTTTCCGAGTTCAAATTTTCTTGCATAGGCCTCACGTAAGCCTAAGACTTCTTCATCTCGATCACCATATTCGTCTTTGAATTTGTCCATCCACTCTGTTATTGAGTATTCAATTCCATCTTCGGCTGCGATATCCTTTTCCCCTTCAAACCATGTTTTTGCAGGACCTTTCACCGCACTTGCTATCTCGATCATGATCTGATCGTCCGTGAGCTGGTAAGTCCTTTGGGTTTCTTTCACTAATCGTGTCCAGCCACTGACAGTGTCACGACTGCCGTCAAAGGTCATGAGTGGTGTTTTCCTGGCCATCGAGTTGAGTGCTTTTGTCAATTGCACGGCTGTATTTTCCGCTCTTTGGTCGTCATCTTCTTCGCTACTTCCATCATCACTTTGATTTCGTTTCGCCTTTCCATACCGGGATTTCCTTGGACGCTCCTGCCGGCTGGGGGGTCTGTCCCGTCGTCCTTCATCAATGAACACATTTGTTTCCATGTGCGGGGGAAGTTGTGAAGGGTCGCCTCGACTCATATGCGGGTAACTTTCCGACGGCGGCTCCTTATCGTCGGTGACCTTTTCGCCATTTCTTTCGTTTTTGACACTTCCTTTGCCAGTACCGGTTCGTAGTGGCATTTCGAAGTGGAAACTTTTGCCCGTGCCCGTTTCGTGCGCCTTGCTGTAACTGGGCGGGGGCGACTCCACTGTTGAAGTCCTGACTCCATATTGCAGAAGCTGTTCATCTTTGTGCTTGTTAGACATAACAAGCGCCTTATTCTCATCCTCAAGGCGACGGACTTTCAACTGGACTTCCTCTTTCTCCGTTTTCAAGTTCTGATTCTCCTCCTTGACCTTTAACATATGTTGGTGGAGTTGGAAAGTCTTCTCCTGAATGACCTTTTCAGTGTCATTCTCCACCTTTTTAATGTGTTCCGCCAACTGGGTCACATCCCTTTCCAGCTTCGTGTATTCCTCAACTGCTGCTTTCAGTTGGTTTTTCGTCTGGGTGACCTCATCTTCTCTTGTCATCACCGTTTGGGTCATATCAATCAGCTCCGTGTTGAGCTTGATAATCTCCTGCGTCTTCTGGTGGACTGATTGTTGCCACTCCTTATCTTTCAATTCAAGTACCGTGACCTTTTCATCCAGGAGGTGTGCCTCGTGTTCCCACCTCATGCCTTGCTGGGCAATTGTCTTAGCAGTCTTTTTCAACTCAGTATTCTCTTCGGTGACCTTTTGAACATCTTCTTTCAACGACTTGTTCTCTTCCATCACCTGCTTAATTTCATTCTTCAACCTCACACCTTCAGTGGCTGTGAGCTCCCTCAGGTCCTTAGCCACTTTGACAGCGTCATCGGCTCTCTTCTGATGATCTTGTGATTCTTTCTGAAGGGTTCCAATGTTCTCGTCCCGTAACTTCAATTCATTTCTCAACTTAAACACTTCGTTAGTGTTTGTCAGCAATCGTTGGGTCACGTCGACGAGTTTGGCCGCGTATTCGTCTCGCTTGGCTTCCGCTTCGGTGACCTTAAGTTTCAGTGAGTCACATTCGTCCTTCAATTCCGCTAAGTGCCGTGACCTTTCGGCTGATTCCTCTGACATGCTCTCGTTGAGGTCACTGACCGCAAGATGACCTTCCATTTCTCTGTCATCCACCATTTTCAAGTACTCTTCAGCGAGTTCTTTTTCACGCTCGTATTTGATCTTCCATTCGTCCGCTGCACTCTCCAAATCCACCTGTTGTTGTTCCAGCTCATAAATACGAGCATCCAGAGATCCTATCCGATTTTGATATTCCTGTTTCTTCTTCGTCACTAGGCCTTCCTTGGCTTCGAGTTCTTCTTCCAACTCCTTCACGCGTCTCTTGAGAGTTGACGTGGGGCTGTTCGGTGATGGCGGTCTAACATTGATGACCTTTCCAGTTTGTGTCCTTTCAATAAGGTGCTCGGGTATGTCCTTAAATCGTGTCATACCTTCAGCGCGGTCGGCTTCCTTCATCGCGGTTTGGAAGGACATGTTCATCGTCGCTTCATCATCCGTGAAGTAGGACTCGTTCGATTCATCGGAGACCATTGGAGTTGCCCAAAGGTCGTCGCCTGCAGTCCTATCGTTCAGTGAAAGGTCATCCAGTCCCAGTTCGGCCAAGTTCTCTTCGGTGACCTTTGTGTTTCCATCTTCCACTTGAGCCAGGTTTACGTTTTTATCCTGTTCATTTGTTCCGCTAGTGGTAGCATCCAGCTGTGATGCTCCAACTGGTTCCGCTCCCCTTTCTGTGGGTTTGTCCTCCCCGGTGACCTTTGTCTGGTTCATCGGATCACTTCCCGCTGTAGGCGCGGGAGTGTGTTTCTGGTCGTCACTGGAGCTTTCCTGATTGGCGACCGCCTCGAGCGCCTTCTGATAAGTGCTATCAGAGCCTCGTGAATCCTTCTTCTCGAATGCCTTAGGCGCTCGAGTGTTCCGCTCATGTCCAACTGGACGTGAGTATGGGTACAAGTCCTTTTTGTACGGATTTGGTGCGCTTTGCTGTGAGCTGCGGGAGCTTTTGCTTCCCTGACTACTGTTGGATGTCGGTTCTTCTTGGTCTTTGTCCATGTTGATCGGATAACTTGGACGCCCCTGCCAATTGTTCTCACACAAACGTTATTGTATGGTTTATTTAGTTGTCCTAATGGTCACTTCGTACTTCAGAAATTTTTCTAAGTCCTTTGTAAAGGTCACTTTCCAGTTGAAAAATTTCGATTAAGTCCCGTTTAAAGGTCACCTTTTCGTTAAAAAGTTCGAGAGGTTTGCCCTAAAGGTCACTCTTTGGACAAAACTTTCGAAACCGTTTTTACGGTTAGTACACGTTAACGAATGAAATCCTACAGCTGCTGATGTCGCTGTACTACTATTCACTTCAGTAAAGGTCACCGTTTGTCAATTTCGAATCATAAAGGTCACTTAAATAGGTCAATCCGGTCAATTCCAACTTTTTGGTAAAGGTCACTTTTCAGGTCAAAAAGTCCTGTTCTGGTCTCAAAGGTCACTTTCCGACTCAATTCAACTCCAAAGATTACTTTCCAACTCAATTTCTGTTAAAAGGTCACTTTCCCGCTCAGCACTATCAAAGGTCACTTTCTAACTCGATTTTGATCAAAGGTCACTTTTCCTTTGTCTCAACTCAAAAGGTCACTTTCCGTCTCACTTATCTCATCTCAAATCAAATTTCCCCTTATCACTCAAGTTCAACGGAAAATCCCCATTGGGGTTGTTTACTTCATTCCTATTGGTCAGCTAGCTCAAATTATTCAGTTCAAATTTCAACCAATCACAGCTCAGATAACCGACCAATCACGTTGCTCCTCTAAAAATTTATATCTGCCTGACGTCACGGTCAACGGCCAGACATGCGTGCCGTGTGCAAAACTCCGCCTATTTTTACGCTCAGCTCAGTGCGGACCAATAAAATTGCGAATTTTACCAGCTAGCCAATCCCGTAATTAATAACGGTTTTTCTACCTGTTAACCGTCCGTCCGTTCTACGTCCGTCCGTTCCGCGGGGAGAATGATCCAGATGATCCGATTCTTCTTCCAACTCCGCTCCCGCGTCGCCGCTGTTCCGTAGCGTGCCTCGCGCTATCAGTATGCTACTGTGCCGGCTGTGCCGTAGCAACAGTAATGCTCTACTCCAGTTTGGAGGAGTCTGATCTGGCAAATCCGTGCGCCCCTTTTAGCGCTTCGCCGCTTGTGGCCCACGGCTTAGGATTCGCTGAATCCTTGCCGAGTATCGGTGACACCAGTGTAGGTCTTCGCTGAAGACTCTACACCGAGGAACACCGACGACTGAACTCTTGAACTCTTGCACAGCTGGGGCAACAGCACGGTTCTTCGCTGAAGATACCGTACCGAAAACCGAAGCTGGAAATTCGCGTCAGATGAGGCAGTTCACCGCTTGTGGTGTGCGCTTTGCTGTCGGATAGACCTGTGCTTTACTGGTCGGGTTCCACGTCAATAACAGGCCAACTTTGCCTGACACAAATCAAATCAGAGAACCGCTGTCGGCTCTGCTACCATCTAATGCTAGATCCAGAATGGATCTAGAGACAGAGACAGAAACAGAATCTATCCTGTGGAGTGAGCGATACGACCTGGATCGCGAACTATGCGGAAACACAAAACGTCGCACCGTAATCGCTGACTTTAATAATATTGAAAGTCTGCACAACAGAAATCCCACAACTGACTGACAACTGCACACACATCAATCGGAGAGCCAATTCAACAGTGTGTAACACTGTGCAGCACGTGCTATGCCGCGCCCACTAACACAACTCAAGCCAATCAAAAGAGACACAACACAGACACGTAATCCGGTGGCGTAGCGTTGCGGACGTGAACGTTAGTGAACCCCCGCTCACATAGGTAACGGGAAGTGCAGAGGCAAATAGATGTAAACCATTCTTATTTTAGCGGTTTTACACTAAGAAAACTAAGTTGCACTAAGAAGCCGAGCACGGTTTTTTTATCTTAAAATAATTAAACCACAGACCGGACGAAATGCATCAATAGGTTTGACGGCACTACCCTATGCTTTGTCTATGGAAACGTCAATAGATCTGCCAAACCGGCTTAACAATGAAACTTGATACGAGGAGGGGGTAAATACACGGGATAGACAGAAAAAACGGCAATAATAAGGGATAACCATTTTCGTGTTGAGCAGCGCGGCCAGCCACCAAGGGCAGGCAGTCCAGCGGCATTACACAAAATTCAGGCTTTGAGACCCGAGCCTTCGTAGAATCCTGTGTTATATTCAAACACCAGCGTCTTGGACATTTCAGAATCAAACCGTGCAATTGATATCTTAAAAGAACAAGAAATAATTAACAAGATTTTCGATACCACGCAAGCCGTGATCTATGAGAAACACGACAAGTTATAGCCAAATTACGTTTCCCATAGACAAAGCATAGGAGCTCCGTGGAAGCAAACCATCCAACTCCTATGCTTTAATAGTCTACGAGAAACTCAAATGGCTCAATCTTGCCTCAGTTTTAATAAGTGGCGAGTAGTTTGGTATCAAAAATCTTGTAAATTTTTTCCTGTTCTTTTGAGCTATCGATTGCGCGGATTAGTTCTGAAATGTGCAAGACGAAGGTGGTTAAGTTTAACATAGAAGTCTACGGAGAAACAGCTCGAGACAGTAGTCTCAACGGCTGTTGTTCACTGTGTCACCGAACTGCCTTCACTTGGTGGCTGGCAGTGTTGCACAACACGTGAATGGTTATCCCTTATTATTGCCGTTTTTTCTGTCTATCCCGTGTATTTACCCCCTCCTCGTACCTTTGAAAACTCAATGCCGGCGTCAACAGTTCGGCCGAGCGGGAGCATTTAAGGTACAGCCGCACTGGCATATTGTACCAGCGCTAGACAAACAGAGCCGGGCGCTATATCTTCGTGGTGATTTCATGATTTTCATCCACTTTTCTTAAAAACCGTATATACAGATACACGAATTTGTATCTGTATATACGGTCTGTTTTTATCTGTATAAACACGTATATACAGATGCCTGATACACGAATTTGTGCAGTGAAATAATTTTCTCATTCTTGGCCTATGTGCTGAATAATACCGATTGGGTTAAATGGTAAATACTTAAAATTAGTAGAAATAAAAAGTAGTAAAAAACACAATCAAGTATAAAGTTGCCAAAACTTGCGGCTATGACATTTGTCAGACGTCAGCGTTTATTATATTTGGAAATTTTTGAACTTTGAACAACGCTTTTTTGAGTGGAAAAAGAAGAGAAGAAATGGCACGGTCGTTTGTCTGCATACCGCCATATAATGGGCCAACGCGGTGACATCTTTAAGGTACAGCTCGGCCAAACTGCTGATGCCGGCATTCAGACCAGTAAGGATATCCAGTTTCAATGTTATGCCGGTTCGGCAGATCTATTGACGCTCCTATAGACAAAGCATAGGCTCCGGTCGGCAGGTCTATCAATGCAGTTCGTCAAACCTATTAACGGACATCCAATCATTTTTTCCTCATGTCAAAAAGGTGACATTTTGAGCACAACAGCAAATATAGTCATTAAGCCGGTCTAGTCCAAAGTGTACATTGTGTTATGTATTCTAAATTTATATAGTAGTAGTTTATTCGTTTGTTGCATGTACTGGATTGACGGTTATGTTTATGTAGTTTAGCACAGCAGCGTCCGGTCACTGCTTGAATTGTGCTCGATAATTTGGGCAGGAAATAAGTGTTGCTTCCCGTATTGTACGTTGAGGTATCGTTGCAAAACTTTTATTGTGGAGTCTTAGAAAATAACCCACCCTTTCAGTGCCACCGCAGCTACTGACCAATAGTTAGATTAAATTTGCAGTTCGGTTTAACTACTCGGGAGTTTTACAATGCGACTGTCTCACGCTGGGATGATTTACGAGTACATTTAATTCTATAATACGAGTATTCAGACTTCACTGTTATCAAAATAATGTACTACAATTTTACATTAAACGTTCAACAGTTTTTGACATAATTTTATTTTGGACGTTCGTAGAAGGTTATAATAACAGTAAATAGTGAATACCCCTTAATCGTGTTGTTTGCACGTCAACGTTGAAAGACAGATAGATGTTCCGATACGCGATATTAGCGGAATAATGCCGCTAGAACACAATCAAAATTATTCTGGACTTCTGGTTATGAGATTTCAGAGACAGGAAGTAATGCATTTAAAAATTATAGCTTTGTGCTCCACTCTTATTACTGAGTGAAAAATATTACTTCGATTTTGCGCTGATTGTCAGACGTTTGCACTCTGTATTCACTGCAAACAACTACAGGTGTGCTGATTCGAAATGTGAAGGCGCGACAGGAATAGCGAATGCCATTTTTTGACTAGCGCCGCGCCAGTACATAGCTGCTCATACATAGCGCCAGTACATAGCGCCAGTACAGACTGTATATGTTCAGGCTCGGCCAAGCTGTAGATGCCGGCATGCTCTGCAAGAATATCAAGTTTCACTGTTGTGCGGGTTCGGTAGATCTATTGACGTTTCCATAGACAAAGCACAGGCTCGGGTCGGCAGGCCTATTAATGCAGTTCGTCAGATCTATTGACGCAAATCTACTTCCCTGACGGGCCAATATGTGGATTATCTACAATCAACTGGTTGATATATCTACCGGCTACATGCGTCCATAGACATGTCCATAGACATGAAAATATGAAAAAGCTCTCCTTAGAACTTTTCGTTCGATGGGAAGTTGGGAACATTGTCTCAAGCTGATTCTGAATTTTTAAAAGTTGCCACGTTTTA